CTTTAATTTAATTAAATTACTCAAGTACAAAAGCGAGTTGATTTCTTTTTAAATGAGAATTTTTAGTAGCGGCTATCGGATCGTCATCACCGGTCAAAAAAATTTACAACGCCAATTATACGATCATACAGAACCGATCATTCTCGATGTTTGTGTAATTTTTAAGAAATTATCACCGGACCGCCTATGGAGTGCTCGTCATTATCATAATTTAAAATTTTTAAAATACACCACACAAAAATCGATGTGTCTTAAATTGAATTCGGGGACCGCGCAAATAAGAAATGGAGGCGCGAAAATTGGACGAAGCACCGTTTAAAGTATCGTTAAGGCTTGTCCGAGAGAAAATATTGTAATCGCAAGCGCACAGCCGATCAGTATAGTTTATGAGCTGCGGAAAGCGGCCGCCATTATTCCACTCGTTGATTTAGTTCATTATAGTGTACCGAGAATTCATGGCGAGATTTTGGCAGGGTGAGGCGCGAACAAAACGCCTTCTGGTGTGAACAATGAGATAGCCATCAATTTCATTATTTATAACTTCCACACTGATGCCGACACTATTTTGCATAAAACTTTTCAACGGACCGATCACGCTGACATACTCCAGTAGACATTACACAGGAACGAGGTATCAGTTAAGAAATATTTTCTAACGACCATTCGTTTACAGAATTTCTTACAACTAACAAGCTCTAATTTACATAACTGCTAAAATTATTTAGCATGGCGCGGCAAACGATATGCCATATTATAACGACCTGACGATGTCGTGATAACATAGAAAAGGTACAGATGTCGGAAACTATAATGTTTATCTGCGAAAAATATAGAAGAAAGAAAACATTTCGAAAGAGAACAAGGGTAAAGAAAGATAAATTAAAATAACGGCGCAGGATCGTGAGGGCAGCGCGGACGTGCGCGGGAGTATCTCACGCGATCGTCGCTGCCGCCTCGTCCTTCTGCCGATCGTATCGGGCGAGCACACTACGGGTCACTGTGTCGCCGACGGACATTTCGCATTCCATCATCACCTCCTCTAATCTTAATAATTTCGTCCAATATGTAGATAGCACTTACTTTCTATCAACCCCCGTCATTTCTCTCTGGACAAAGAGATGCCGCTGCATTATTCTCGAGATACCTTTCATACTTCAACACCGCCAAAGTAACAACCATAAAAGGTAGCTGCTATAGAAAATTGTTTACATAAGCCTCCGCAGTGGCGACTCACTTAAAAACTTCTTTAGAAACTATTAAGCGTGCATGAACAAAAATAAAAATTCAATAACACGGTCTTATATCACTTTTGTGCGTATAACACTACTATTATCTGCATCCAATGAAGCATATAATTATGCGCAAGAAAAACTATAATACAGTAAGAAAAGGTTTAGAGAAACCGTTTGCAAAATTTTAATGAGCTTACAAAAATTATTTCGAAGAAAAAAAAGTAACACTTCACTTTACAAATGACACGCAAGAGAGAAAACACATTTGAAAAATGTTCGTAATAACATAAATAAAAAAGGAAGCAGAAATGATGGCGGCGAAGATTCAAATAGTGCCGCTAATCAAAGGACGGTAGCTCAATCAAATGGCTGTAATAAATCTTCAAAAACCAGAAGATTCAATTACACGGCTACCGGAAGGCATGAAGAGTGGCATTAACAAATTGTCCAAGATAAATAAAACCTTTTTAATCTAAAGAAGAGGTCCCGAACTCGTTCCTCTTATCTGTAAACGCGAAGTTTTTTGAGAATTTATTGAACGCTTAATGTATCGAGCAAGAATTAATTGGTCCGCTTGAGTGAAAGGTAGGCCGCTTTTAAATTATAACGATCAAAAACACTTTGGAAATTGAAGATCGTAAACTGATAAGACGCCTTGTTACACGGGACTGAACGGATAGCATCAGTAGCTTCGATTTGATGAACACTTATGTATATGGTCACCAAAATAAATCGCTTTACATCTATGCTTGTTGCTCTATGGATGAGGAGATATTTTAGATTTCAATATTGATTAGGTTGTGTATCTCAGTATATTTCTGGTAGCTCAAAGCCTTACAAAAGAGTTTTTATCAGTTTTTCATTACGTTAAACATAAATTCAATTAAATATGTATTATACCTAAAAAATTAAAATATGCCTGGACGCGCCTTTATTTTACATATTTTGATTTGACTAGATTTGTTTAAATTGTATATATTATATTTTTGCGAAATAAACTTTAGCTGAAATAACCGATCCGGTGTGAAAGATTGATTATTATTAATCTCTAGTATGAGAGAGGTTATATGTGAGTTTATATATTTTTATTTTTTTACAAATGCTTCTGCCGATCATCAATTTTTAGGGTCAATCTTTGATACTCTTAATATAGGTAATATTGTTTAGTATTTTGAATTATTTTCCCAGTATTTTCTTGATAAAAGTACAATATCGGAACGGGACCAAGAAAAGTAGAAAGTTCCGAAGGCAAAGGACTACCTACGCCTTCAAAAAAAACTTAAATCACCTGTCTCTAAAAAATAGCACTTCCACAAACGCTGAACTCATAAAATTGAGATAATTGAAAAAGATATTCCAGTTTACGATAAGTACTCTTTTATTGCGCATGATATGAATCAAGGAGATATATTTTTGGATAACTAGGCGACAGAAAATGCTTATCATCATTTTGAAGCCTACCCACACGTCTCGAATAATACCTTCACGTCTGTCAAAACTAGACTTCAGTACAATGATGAATACTAAATTCGGAGCCTAATATTTGGATTTAGTAAATATTACCAAATGCTGCAACAGATTTTTATGTAAGTGAAAAAGGAGATAAGTTGTTGGTTTGATATTTATTACCGGTTTTTGTGGTCAGCTCTAGAGTTTCCTTCTGTGTCCTAGACCAAAAATTAAACACAAAGTGACAGTAACTGCTATTGGTGGCAGCATTGGTGGATATGATGGTTATTTGGCTCTTTGTTAATCAACAAACTACTTTTCCAGGTTAGGGCATGATAAGTATGTGAATTTGTATGTTTGTAAAAGTAGTCACACAATAGATGCAGAAAATCCTAAAGCAAAAAAAATAACTAAAAATTCATCTCTGTGAGTTTACTGAACCTACTAATTAATTGCAACCTTTTTAACTGGAGCAATTTTTCCATTGTCAGTCACACTACGCCCTCTGGATATTGATATCTATCACACTCATCCTAGACTCGCACATACCAACACGCCGCGAGATGGCGCATCGCGTGCAAACCGTTGCCGGCGCAACCATGATCTGGGCCATTTCGCACACAACCAAAATCTTACACACCGTTATTATCAACCTTATCTCTATTCAAATTAAGGTTGAATATGTGGCTGTTGCTGTTATAATTTAGTTTATCTGGTTTACTATCAACCCTATTTGGTATTAGATCTCGCTATATCAGTTGGGATGTGAAGTGGCATGAGACTTCTATCGATGTTGATCACTGCTGATGAGACGGTTCTTGAAACACTGAATGCTTTTATGTACACATTGTAAGACTTCATATGTTTAATATTAATGAAAGACCAAGCGAGTTCTCTGGCGTCATAAGAACCGACTAAGGGCAATTTGACAGAGATAGAGAAGTTTCTGATAAAAAAAAATAACTAAGCAATCTGCGCCACTTATGAACACATTACCAAATGACTTACAAATGTTTTGTCGGCCTTTTGAGGATTAGGGTTTCGAATATTATAGGATTGGGAGAGGGGGAGATTTGGGCCTTCCGTAAACTCACTCACACGGCAAAACACAACGCTGTGGTGTCATTTCACGCTAATTTATTGGGTATCATTCTGGTCGAGCCGACCCATTTTTGTCGAAGCTTAGCTCTTCCACATTTTTGGGATTTTAATTCGCTATCTTCAACCCAAAACATGGCTGGCGTGGAGATGGCAACCCAATGCATGTACAGAAAACTTAGCCAGATAGTCGTCTTTCACAGACTTTGGACCAAGTGAAAGGATGTCCAGAAAATTTTGTTCCTTCAAAAACATATTATAAACAAAAGATTCACAAATAAATATTTGATCCTAAGCCTAGAATATTCCTCTAATTTTCGACGTAAATATCAGGCGATATGCTGACAAATATAAATACGAAATTAGTATAAAGGTATTAATCGTCTCGACAGGTCATTTTTAATATCGTATAATAATAAAATCTGTATCAGTTAACATACACATTAATAATGAAAATGTTTTAATTGAAATATTGCATGAATATGAAATTTCAATAGCGAATTCGCCATTTTAATCCGGATTAGTATATATTTGCGCAGGAGTGCCGATTAATTGAACGGTATATCATCGCCTACTCATCTTTACAGACGTGCTGCTATTAATCTAATATGCCTTTTCTACAAAAACTTTATTAAAATTAAATGTTAAGTTATTGTAATGTTCACTTAATTTCCATTTCTTTGACACATCTATTAATATTTCTTCCTAAGTTCCTTCTTTAATGGATACACTAACATTTTATGCACAAAGCGATTGACAACCGAAAGTTGTCCGACTAAAGATTAATACAATTCTTTATTATTTAAGCTGTGTTTTTTTTTACTTTATGTGAAAAATACCTGGAATTATCATTATATTTATTTGTTGTTATTGTACTGATTGAGAATGTACCTACTAGTCATCCCACGGTGTTACAACGTGCGTACCTACATGAGCTACAGGTTACAAATAACGGTTTACAGCACGTTTATTCCGTCTCATCTTCAGGCACGACATGACGAGAATATTCGGAGCTCGCTCACAGATATAAATTTATTTTCGTCACTGATACCTACGTGCGAGTCTCAAACAGTTTGCAGAAAACTTCAACATTATTAACTATGATAAATCCTTGTTTTCCACTGGGAACGACACAATAATTTACAACGCAATGATAACGGCACACGTTTAAAGATAAAACCGATTCCTCGCGAGATTAGTGTGATAAAAACTGCGACGGTAGTGGACGTTGTAACGGACTCACTTTATAATTAGAAATTATGTTCCAGTGCACTGCAATGTTTGTGTTTATTCTTAGCGTTGCTGGACTCATTCCTAGTGGTAAGATATCATTTTGAAAATGTATGTTTATACAAACAAATAGTAATGATTTGTTAACCTATTGTGTCTACAAGTTGTCATCCAATCGTGTATAAATAAAACAACGTGCTTCGTTACATCATGAGGTTTAAAATTCATTTTGAGAACGCTCGCGCCCGCGAACACAATGGCTTGCCGAATACCGACTCATCTTGCCTCTGGATAAATATTTATTTATTCTGTTGACAATAGTATTTACATTGTCAATGCGTCTTGTAATGTCGCCATAGAGCGCGTGGGCAGGGGATTTTATGTTGATGATCGCTAGTTATGAATTTAGGTCAGTGCTGTGTTGTGACTTAGATAAGTGAAGATAGCGAATAGGAATGGCGTGCTGTCTAGCAATGTCTAGTGGATTCTTTCAAGTGATTTCCATAAAGTAGGAAAAATAGTGCATCGGTGACTTGCTACTTTGAGGCACCTGTTTCCTTTGTCGAGTATGATGTGTCGGTGTGTTCATTTGCACATTATTAGCTACTGAATTTTCATGTGTTTAGTGTTTATTGTTCAAGTTTAGTGTTTACATTATGTAGGTATTTTTAAGATACGTACACATATACATATACAAACATATCTGGATCTTACTGTCGTTGTCTGAAATACTTTTTCAATACCTAGATATCATTCCTACAATGGTTGATACTTACGTTTACGTGATAAACCTACTTAGATACTTAATGACTGCAAAATGGCGTAAATCTTATTGTGCTCTTCAATATCTGTAAATTCATCTTAATAACAATGAATGGCATGAGTGAATATGTCGTTTAAGTTAGCATGCTGCATCATTGCGTAGGTACTACCAGATGTGACGAGACGTGAGATAGAAACCAAATGTCAATATAAAAGTATAAAAAAACCTTCGCGGACATTTTCAAGTTCAAAATAAGGCAAATCGTTGACATCTAGACAAGTCATTAGAGGTTCTATGCAACAGAGTCAAAAGTTAGTACCGAAAGTTTAAGTCAAAATCGACGATAATTTATATACGGTATTACCGGCAGAAACTGATGTATACATAAAAGTGCGTAGTAGTAATCGATCTAGCACCATATAGAATTACAATAAAGTTACGGACCGCCAATAGTTTTGCACAATTATGTCAGACGCCTATCAAGCACTTTCTCGGGCGCCAAGCTAACGACAAGATACGGCGATCACAGTGCAATCTTACGCACCATCGCATTATACCTACCTAGGTACCGTTTCTTGGAAGTTTTTAAGTATTAAAATTAAATACACTTACCTAGGCAACGTATTTAAAAAAAATAGAAGAAGAATAATAGTTACCTACAGAGCCTGTTTACCAGCCAAAACTGTTCACCAGCTAACTGGTGAACAGTTTTGTTAGCTGAATTGCTGTACTGGTAGAGGTTAGCGTTTAGTAAAGGGCTCTGTAGGTAAATACGTTGCCCCACATTAGGATTTTCTCCTGTGTCGTGGGTGCGGACCCGGAACAACAATTTGTGGATCACACAAAGAGTTGTTCCGTGCCGGAATCGAACCCGCGACACGTTGCACGACAGCCAGTTGCCCAGCCACCGCACCAACCATGCAGTCATATTTTTAGAGGTATGAGGAACAGGGTGGAAAGTTCCTCATCCTCCATTGAAAAGGGAGGATCCTCCGACCAGGCGAGGTGTTCGTGCCTGGTGGGCTACTGCCCGACGATTGCTGTCGGGATATCTGTATGGGTGCTAATTGCGATGAAAACTCTTATAGCGCGATGTAGGCACTTGCTCGTGATTGGTGCTGTTGTTTATGTAGTGCGCTAGATGTCGCTACATCACTCCCCTCCGAGACCGGAGGTCGTTAGCTGGTTGAGACGTCTGTGAGATGCTTGTCGAGCCAGTTGATGGTTTCAGTGCGTCGAATCTGTCTGCGAAGATGCCCCAGTGAGACGGGTGGTGCAGTGCTGAAGAGTGGCTAGCTGCTGCGTCGACCAGGAGAGGAAGTACGTCTCTGCTTGCTGACCGGCCGGTGCAGTATGCTGTGCCGAAGTTGCTGATGAGGCTGTAGGTGCTGACCAGGAATGCGCGTCGGCTGCATGCTGGTGGTCAGGGAACCCGTTGTAGCCGTGGAAGCTGGCTGACTGTAGACTCGCTGCTGAAAGCTCGAGGAAGTGATGACGTCATGGCTATGACGTAGTTGCACGAAGGCTGCGTTGATGTTCATGCTCGGGGTCACCAGTTTAGAGGTATGAGGAACAGGGTGGAAAGTTCCTCATCCTCCATTGAAAAGGGAGGATCCTCCGACCAGGCGAGGTGTTCGTGCCTGGTGGGCTACTGCCCGACGATTGCTGTCGGGATATCTGTATGGGTGCTAATTGCGATGAAAACTCTTATAGCGCGATGTAGGCACTTGCTCGTGATTGGTGCTGTTGTTTATGTAGTGCGCTAGATGTCGCTACATATTTATTTTCAATAAGATGACATATTTTCCTTTAGATATACCATACAGCTTGTACCTGAATTTACTTCTGTGCAATATATAAATACCTACCTAAATTAGTCAGTCTGAGAATCTGATTAGAACGACCTAAGAACTGCCCTTCAAATACAAAAACCTTGTTTTAATGCTGTCAATTTTATCGCCAACATTTCTTAGAGCCTAAATTGATAAGAGATTCCGAATTTAGAGTATCATTGTTCGCTAAATTCATAAGCAAACTTCTAGATAAATCGAAAGATATCAAGACTATTTATATCGAATGCAAAAAATAACAATAAGATACCAACTAACATTACACAATAACTGAACTCATTAACTGTGATAACATTATCTTTAATATCAGCTATTATAATTTAAAGAGCGAAACTAAATGGCGGCGAAATAATCATTCGTGCGGCATGCCTTGACGTGGAGTCCGTCGAGAGCGGATTCTCTGCTTTCAATAATTACGGAGCGTACGCCGAACGGATCGCGAGCGATGGACGGCCGGCAAAATGGCGCGAAACGCGAGAAAATGACATATGATTGCGGCGGTTAAAACAAACGTAAACTGCCATGAGGAGTGGCATTACTCGTAGACCAGAGACTCGTAATGGCGGGTCCGGTCAGCTGTAGCGTCTGTGCGCTGCACCGTTCCGCTACACAACAATCAGATTTGACACGGACGTGCATTGCGCAGATAATGCAGGGAAGCCTTCAATCATTAATTTCTCGTCTTTTGATCGCTAGTAGCTTAGTAGCTGCTTCATATGTCAAGGATGAATAATGCATTTTCCGTGCAGTTTCGAATTTGACTGTCGATCTCTCTTGATGTTTCGATGGACCAGCAATTGTGTCATGTTAGATAGTTTAAGGGCTACAAAAATGTACCTATGTAACGTCCTTTCAACCCACCTACCCTTAATAAGTAGTATTAAGTTATTTACCTGCAAACTAGGTAAATGTCACTCAAGCAAGAGAAATCAGATTGTGATTACCTACTAGTTTGAATTGAACAAAAAATCTTGATGATACATTAATAAAATTGTTTTTCATTAACACTGCATATTTTAAACCAAAAAAGTTAACATGGAGCGAATTATGATTACATTTCACCTAGATAGGTACACCTAATTTGCATATGCATAGGTAATAAGCAGGATACACACTTAACTGGCTACAGTAAAAGTTATTGAGATCGCCTATAAAGTAAAGAAATGAGACAAAAACAGTTAAACAAAATAATGTTGACATGTCTATCCCTTCCCGTATTTATTAATAAATTATACCAAAGGTCTCAATCAAAGTCCTAGCAGGGTGCCATTTAAGTGGGCCATAGAAAATAATTTATTCATAAAACTTTAATACAATTGCAACCCAATCTCGTAAATTGGCACCGAGTTATTGAAAGCACTTGGACAACAACTGACCATCATCTCAAACACTTAAGATTATTGCTGCGGTGAACAAGACCGTAGATATTCCATAACGGTTTCGATTATAATCAATGTCGTCAGAAAATAAGTTAAAAGAAAATAAAACCCGTGTACACAGTCCGCGTTTGAAGGAAAACTTAAGAAGATGTACTACGAATGACCCGACTTGACTGAATAAATGACATGGTCTTATAGAAAACTGACGTGAAAAAACCTTGTATCTGTGGTTGTATATGTTTTTTATGTCATAGGTTGGCACACCAGTATATTCAATGACTACCATAACATGTATCTAACCGAATGGTAATAGCAATCAGGGTCGCCCATAGACACTCGTAGTAACTACAAAGCAATTACTACGAGTGCGTTGACGGCCTCTTGTGGATTATAAGGGATTTAAGGATTGGGGATGGGGGTGAAGATTGGGCCTCCGGCATCCTCACTCACACGGCGAAACACATTGTAAGTAGATAAATGTTGCTTCATGCCAGTTTTCTGTGAGGCCATGGTATCCCTCCGGTCGAGCCGGCCCATTCGTGCCAAGCATGGCTCTCCCACGCTTATAGGTAAATGTGACTAAAAGACTAGCATCCCACTCATAACTCCACTCCGACGTGTGATCGGTCTACACATTCACCTAACCTACCTTACAAAAAAGTTTTAGGCACAAACATAAATTACTTCATCAAACCCCAAGCGAACGCGAACGTTCGCGCACGATGGAAATGTTAAGTATTGGGATGGGCTATTTTGTATATGTGATCATGCGATCTTTGATAATATAGATAATGTAACTTTTTGAGCCGTTTATCCGCAAGTCACCCTGAGACAAGTTCACGTGTTCGACTGTCCGTCAGAATCTGAACCTTATTAGCAGCCCGCATAAGTAGAATAACAGTTTATACAGCTAATAATCTCGCGTTGACTTACTAATTTATGTATTTAGATTTCCACTTAACGTCTTGTAGACTACTTATTTTCTTTTTGCCGGATCTGAAGGTTTTTAGGAAGAAACACGTCACTAAACAAAGTAGGAAATTACCAATGATTTCACTGATTTTCTTATTTTTTTTGGATAACAAAGAGGTTTCCACCCATGATGATGGTCAAAAAACTTTGACTATACACACAACTATGCCAAGCTGACAAATTTATCGTAAATGTCGAGGGTAGAAAAAATTCGTCTATGTACTTATATCATAAAAAAAATTAATAGTAGGTCATCTGGGCATCTACAATACCGCCGACGTATCTTGGCGAGTCTAAAGTTAGCCGATTAGCTGCGCAGTACACAATTTTGTTCCTCAAAGATCCATTGCGCAAACAAACGGCTAACTTCAGACTCGCCAAGATACTGCGGCCGTACTGTACCCTGCATTTAATTAAGTTTTAGTATAGAACATTGTCTATTTAGGATCTATTGTAGATCAAAATAAGATGCCAGTCATCTGCTTGACTTTCAAACCCCTCAGGAGTTTGAACACCCTGACCATATTACGTTAAACATTACAGTGCTACCGGAGACCTGTTTCTACCAGCGTTGTCTGGGTTGCTACCCAGGGCAGACAGTAGCACCAGGTCACCGAGTGGAATGTCAGCCTTCTAACTGGGTGTCAGCTACTTGGGTGCATAACTATGGGCATCCACCGCCGAGCACTGATTCTAAGATACCTATCGAGTACCGATGCTTGAAGATGGTGGCTACACCTGATGATAAGACATGTAAGTTCATTGGCTAAAGGTTTTGACTAGCTAGCTTCGCTACATATAGGTATTATTGGTAAATTTCATTCACATCCGTTCAGTTTTACGTGAAATAGTAACAAACATCCATCCATATTATTACAATGGGGCAACTAATAAAATGTTACTTATTCCCAATAAGTTACGGAATACCAACGCTCCTCGAAGTATCGACAGAAATCCCAGTAATAGATGTTTAATCTTATTTAAAGTGCTTTTTTCATTATTAGCTATCGAGAACTTAGCTTATGCGAAAAAACCGCATTAAAATGATTTGGTATTTTTTAAATCTAGGTATGATAAATACACGTATGCAAATGGTACCTATATCAAATGCTTGAATGTTTGCCATAATTATTAAATAAACATTGAAATTTTTCACAGTTGGCAACACAGTGGATACTCTCCGAGGGTGTGTACCTCGAGCGCAAGTTGACTCAGTCTGTCTTGGTCTGCTTGCTGTAGAAAGAGCACGTGGCCATAGTGATGCCCGTTGCTTTATCTGCAACGGCAACGACTGCAACTCAGCAACACACACAACTATATCTTTACCAGCAACGATAGCAACAGCGCTACTGTATTTCATCCTAAGGTGAAATAAATAAAACAAATTTTAGTAAACAGTTTTAATTTAATGACATAGATTCTCAAATAATTTTATTTTTAATACATTTAATTTTATTGTACATTTTATATTAGTTATAATTGTAATACTTTATATTTTTTTGTAAATCGAAAACTTTTTTGTACAAATTAAATCGTTTAAAATAAAATAACATTTTTATTTTTGATGATTTGTTTTACTTTTTGCACGGTCACCGTTATATATTCATAAAAAGTAATTAATGTTGAGTCTGCATCAAATATTATAATCGACTAGTTTCGAAATTCATTTCAGGGCCCCGTTTTAGATCTAAATTTGTCGGACATCCTAGAAATAGTACCCATCATTGTACAATAAAAATAAAAACATAATTTCATCGTCATAACTAAATAAGTCGAACGCCTCTCACACATAAAAAAATTAAACAGATACATACTGCAGTCACGTTTTCTTTTTAGGAATAATACGAATATAAATACGAAATATAACTTGTAAGTATGGTTTTACAAAAGCACCATATTGTTGAAAAATAGCCAAGCACGTTAGAAATATTAAATATTTCTTATTAAATAATGATAGCATTCATATTTTATATTTCTGAAACTTGATATGGACCCAAAGCCTATTTCACCGCTTATAAACCTTTGCTATATCACTTGATATTGCTAACCTAATACATATTATTAATATTGACATTTACATCGTTAATGTTTTTATAAGTAACATTATTTTAAAGGGAAGGCAGTAAATAGGTACTTATTCTATTCTTTTTTTTAAAGTAATTATCGTGAGCGATACAGTTTTTTTTTAAATTAACGACCCTCTCTCGTGAACTTATTGAAAACTATCCTATACTCGGAATTTTAATTCCATTCCAGATTTGACAATTTCAGTGTTGCAACGTTATGACACGTACTAAATAGTGACGTTGCGAAATTATTCGATATGGAAATTGAATATTTCTGAATCGATTCCTCTCATTTATCTACTTTTGTATCTGTGTCCAGGTTGTGCAAATAAAATTATTTCTTTCTTTCTTTATTTATAAATTTACTCTCGTAAACTAAGTTTATCAGGAAATAAAATATTTCTGAACCAATAATTTAGTTTTGACAAAAAATTAACGATCTGAGACTTTTCTTTTGTAATTGTGTGTGAAATTAATAAAAAATGTAATCATGTAGGAACATGACAAATAAAACAGACATTTTATAAATTGTTGCCGTCATCGCTATCGCTATCGCTGTTACTTTCTGTACATTACCTAACATTTATTACGAATTGTGTCTGTGATATTTATTTTCAATTAACATATCTAGTTTACTCATTTTTTCCTCTTCTTTGACAACATGGAATACGCATTTAGACCATTCGGTAGCTGTAATTTTTTGAATGCCTTCCTGAAACTGATTCACTGATTGTTTATCGATTTTTGTGTTCATCACTACACTGTTATATGTGGTATCATTATTTCACAAAATGACAGTAGGTCATGTCAAATCAGGAATCGACTTAAAATTCTGATTATAGTTTCAAGCCACAGCGGGACTCTCATTCATGAACAGCGCAAACAACTCGTAGACCTTTTCTAAACTAGTAGGGTCTTTCTCAGGGGATTCAATGAAGTCGTCCTTTGAAAAAAAATCTATACTTTTTTGAATAATATAAAGATTCTACAGTTCCATTCTAACTACCGGTTTGTTTTAAACGGTATCTTTATAACAATTTGAATACAAGCTAACTGGTTCCTGATAAAAATCTGAAGAATCGACCCCAAAACCTAAACCCCAATTCCATAAAAACCTGATAAAGATCCCTTAATCTCATTTATACACAAATAGTACAATCTCATTGATTAAACCAATTTAATTACATTGATTCTTCTATTTAATACACATATGAACATACCTATTACAATAATGATTATGTACAAACATTCAATGTTTTTTAAATTGATATGTTTACCATCGAGAGATACGGAGCTTAAGTGATATATTATTTATTTCACTGAAGTTAAGTACAGAGGAAGGACGTAACATTTTCATAAGATATATATTATTCGTAATCTTAATTGAATGGAATGAATTTAAACAAAAAAAATGGCAAAATGTTTATACTAACTAAAAGGCTTTTTGTTAGGGGAAAACCATAAAATGACTTTTCCCGCTCAGAGTTAAGCGAGGGGCAGTGTCAAAGTCTTACTGACTAAAAACGTTCCTTCTCCTGCTCTAGGCCGAGGCTGCGGGTTACTGCTTTTGCCCCGCAACCCCGACTGGACTAACTATCAGGCTTAGTCGTTACTTTAACACAAACAAAAGGAAATTTCTAATCCAATAAAAACTAAACATATTTTTTATTATTGAGTAAGTTCATACGAAGCTGCATCAAATTATAGATTTTTCTGAAGTTAATTCAATAAGCATGACTTAACACATTTATAAATAATCATAAAGTAATTTTATAACACTCAATAAATCTAACTTAAATGGAATGGTTTTGTCTTTAATAATTAAACCTATAAGGAATTGCCAAGTCGTTAGTTTTAACACAAGATATAAGAAAATTCAAATTTCATATAATAAAATCTAAATATAAAAGCAAAAAGACTAGAAGAAATATAGTTGTATAAGTCAAAATATAAAAGCAACCTAAATATGAAAACAGTATGAGTTATTTACGAAACTTTCTTACCATCATTCATTTTATTCACTTCTCTCTTTACTAGGAGATAGATACCAACTTTATCTATATAATATCTTTATATTTATTACGACAAGATACGTTTTCATCATAACATAAATTACGTAAATATTCGACCAGGAACAAAGGAGTACCAAAAGTACAAAACGGCCGACGTTTCTTGGCAAATCTGAAGATAGGCTCTGCGAAGTTTCGAGCATGTACAATCGTGAAAAAAATTGTTACCGGGTAAGTTCGGGTTACTTTGACCATGCGGGGTAACTTAGATCCAATCCCTTTAACCAATGATAACTGAGAACCAAACATATATTCGTTTTTCATTGGTTCGAAAATTTGGACCAAAGTTACCTCCCTGGGTCAAAGTAACCCGAATTTACGGTATTGTAATTTTTTACACATTAACGAAGTAGGTACACTTGAATTAATAAAATATCAAGAAAGAAAGCCCAATCAAATTTTTATAAGTAAAAAACAATTTATATAGTTCACCTTTCACTATATATTTTTTTCTAGACACCCGGTTTTGTTCTTTCACATTTATGTTTTTTAATATGAAGTATTTAGTACTTCATCAGAATCATCGTAGCCGAAGGAGCAGTACCTAACATAAAATCGTCAACGCCTTGGTACATGTGTGAGATACTTAGCTTAGGTTCATCGTCGAAATCGCTCTTACTTTCTGACTCACTGACTGAATCTGATGCTGTATTAATGATGAATTGTGTTTGTTTCGTCATTTCATCAATATTTCGGACTCGCCAAGTTACATCTGCGGTTTTGAATGGAAACCTAGTGACGTCACTTAATATGTACTTATTTTCGGACTACTGGGTGATTCTTCACATCAATTTAACAAAAAATATTGTTGTCATTATCCTCAACCCAAAATTAACTTTACGAATTCTGCCGATTAAAACAAAAATAATGATTCTATTATATAAAAATATTGAATAATAAGCTAAGATGCTTAACAAACCGGGTGAATAATGATTTGTTTGTTAAATAAAAGGTAAGATTTTTCGGAGAATCACCCTCCTACATAACTACAGATCGAAACTATAACAACAATGATAATACTTGTACAATGCACGCGCACATTTTTGAGATAAAATCAGATCTGTACTTTTATATGATATTAATAAACCTTAAAGCCTACTGATTAAGATTGATTTTACAATAATACAAAGTATACGTTCCAAAAAAGGAAGACAGTTCGTAAATAAATAAATAATTCTTACATCAATTAAGTAGTTTGAAATGGAATATGGATAAGTTAAAATGTAATGGAATGTTATTAAAAATATCAGCTCTATACTATTCCATAGTAACTTAAAACTGTAAATGTAAAAAATCATGTTTGTAATTTTTTAAATCACAACTTATAGTTTCGCCTACTTACTAGTAAATTAATTGTATAAAAATTAATATTACAAATCACAGGTGCTATGTAACTAAATGCCTGCACTAAACACAAAATATTGTACATCAATCTAACTAATAAGATCCCGAATCAGACTCATATTATTTTAAGTACTCACTCTAAATTCTTATCTTCGAATACGTACTAGGATTTGCGACCTTAAAAGTTTAGGTTGTAGTTATTTTTTGTAAATTATTGCTTAACGTTCAACTAATTTGTACTACCTAGTTTTATCACAACATTAACGCCAAGGCACGCGTTCAAAATGCCATATTTGTTTATCGTCTGTGAGACATCTTTTCGATGTTAAGGGGTCGCCGATACCGTACATATTTTTCGTCACCACTAACGTGAGACACTGGCCATCCTGAGTTTTTAATCTCGGCCCTTTCTGCTCCCAAATCTGTTTACTGCTGTCTGAGCAACTCTTCCAAAGAGCGCGTCCATTCCCTTGCTGTAAACACAGTCCTTCGTCCACCATTAGCTTTCCCTCTGGAGTGAAAACAACTAAACTTTCGAATTCAGCCTGTTTGCTACAATCTATCCCAACCGCTGGTATTCCCAGCCCCACTGTCCCAATAGTAACCCCTATACAAGCTCCTTTCTCATTTTTGATCCTCCCGAACCATCGGTCATCGGTCGGGAAAAAGTGTTGAGGCCACACGTTGCTTAGGTACCACCCAAAACTTTTACAGTTTAAATTCTTTCTTAATTCTATTCTATTTGCTACTGATTGTTGGTCACGGTACGAGGCCACTTCTGGGTTGAATTTGAAGTAGAAGTCTGCCCATTCATCCATCCACACTATTGCGGCTCGAGCTAAGTTTGCATAAAGGACTTTTGTGACTCCTCCAGGGTATTTGTATGGACTGTGTCTTCTAAATATGTGTCCGACACGAGAGCACGATGTTATTTCTACCCTGGCTCCACACTGCCAGGCTCGCCATGATAGTTCTAAATTCTCTGCCCCCCAAATTACCATGCCCTCGTCATAACCACCGAGACGCCAGAAAAGACTTTTTCTGACTGCAAAAAGTCCACCAGCCATAGCTGGTGTGGGGTACGGTTTCGAAGGGTTTTCTGACTTCTTTTTAAGCACTTCACCACTAGGTACTAACCATCGGAAATGCAGTCTCCAGCTAAACGCTCCCCAATGAGCGTCAATACTCTTCACGTATGATAAGGTGTCTTCAGACAGGAGGTCTATATGAGGACAAATGAAGACGTCATCGCTGCCTGCGCGGTCTAGTAATGGTTCCAGCCATCCTATTGTCACCTGAAATAACAATTTGATAGTCAGTTATGCATTGATAATATTTACTGGACCAGGGTGTAAATAAATATGTTTATTTGATGGTTTAGTAGTGACTAAAGACTAATCTTGAGATTATGCAATATTTTTCTCGAAAAGATCAACACACAGCCATCACAACGTGGGTCTACCCACGTTTTCCTTAGTAGATTTAACATAATCTCCATTTTAGCAAGCAGCTTGTGGACTGCGTTTGGCGTTTATCTTGCCTGGTGGTAAGGTATGATGCAACCTACGATGGAACACGCCTACCCATAAACAACCTTTTCACTCGGGCCTTAAAGAAACCCAGGTTATAACCTTCGGGGAACACAAACTCCGGCAAAGAATTTCACTCCTAATAGTTCTGATGAAAGTAATTTTTATTCAATATTGACCACCATCTCGCCTACGGGTAAAAGATGTTGAGACCAACAATGGAGCACGCATTTACATAAGCAACCTAATCACTGAAGCCTTTAAGAACAGGTATTTTATTAAACTTTATGACATTTATTTCTATTGGGGTGTCACGAACGAAAGAAAACCATGTCTTTAGATAAAGAGAGAGTCTAATCATCAATCAATCAGTTACACAATGTCACAAAACTAATTAGTTAGAGAAACAATCACGTAAGGTCGCGGACGCGATACATTCATGCGCGTCGCGGCCTGAACTGAACTGAACGTCGGGACTGAAGCTCGCGCGTACGACGCGGCGCGCGCAGCTGCGCAGTGCGTTAGCGGGACAAGGTAGATCTCCCGCGCATGCGTGAAGTTGCCACAAATACAGAGGTTCGGACGGCGCGTTACAACTTTAAATATAAGGTTTTTTCTCACCTCACAGTGCGCATCAAGGAAGACAAGTACATCTCCAGTAGCCTGTCTCGCTCCCATCAGCCGCGCCCCCACCAACCCTTTCCTCTCAGGGTTCCGAAGTATCTTCACTTTATCCAACTTCGCCACAGCTTCGTCTAACTCTTCGAAGAGATATTTCCTGTCGCTCGCGTCATCTACTAGTATTATCTGAAACACAATTCAAGTTTTGTCATACATAGTTGATAAATTATTGATTTTATTGTATTAAGGATTTTGTTAAGATTACACTTTAATTGGCTATCTTAAGAGCTTAAGTAACTTCAATTAAACCTAAATTTATAACCTATATTAATAAAACATAGGCTTGTTTTTAAGGATTGGAAAGATTGGCTCTGCGACCACTCGTACACGCGTTTCTGCGGTCGCCACTCACATGAATATGTAAACTTTTTTGTCATGTAGTAGGCAGACACTTTAACGTTTATGTTCGAATACATCCGAAAAGAGAACAAGAAAGTTGGTACAACGATGTCTCAATTTAAAAGGAATTAATAAACATAATTTCAACTAGAAGACATACAGTACTGTGCATTGATAAGCCGTTACCAATTATTTTTAGGTTACTTTAAAGTGACCTATATACACACCTTTCGCCTTTCGAAACAACATTTTTTTTATGTTATAGGTCAACAAACGACCTTTCGGATATCCTGAAGGTAAGCAATCAGCGCTGTCCATGGACTCTCGTACTACCAAAGGAGTTACAAATGCGTTGCCGGCCTCTTGCGGATTATTAGCGATTTAAGGACGGGGGATTTGAGGGAATAATTGAGCTTCTGGTGATCTAACTCACAAGGCGAAACACTACGTAACTGGTGCTTCAAGCCGGGTTTCTCTAAGGCCGTAGTATCACTCTGGTTGAGCCGGCCCATTTGCACCGAAGCATGGCTCTCACATACTTATAAGTTAAGCCAGAAAAAGAAATGCATTATAATACTTGTTGCAATAATGTGGATGGTGATCGTATCAGCACCGACATGACGGTCCGCATGAGTGTAGACCACGCTTCATTATGAAACACGATGATCACTGTCGCTGTAGGCAGATTGTCTAGGTCAAAGTGCACTTCTTTACATCTGAAACAATAATATGGACTTTATTTTTAACTAGTGGCCCGCCCCTGCTTCGCACGGGTCCAACTATCTCGCTAATAACGAAAAGGTCAGTTTTCCCAATCTTCCCCTCTACTTTTCTTATATTTTCTTTGATGAGAACCTTCTCCTGGCAAAATCGGTCCAGTCGTTATTGAGTTACACGCTTACCAACACATTATGCGATTCATTTTTATATATTATAGATTACTTGACCCGAAATAAAAGATTATAGTATGCTGTTTTTCACTAAAAAAAACGCTACACCCTTGCCCTAAATTTGTCGCATTTTAGTATAATGTCTTAGCGGATACTAGAATAAGAAGTCAGTCAGCTAGCCAACGTCGTCGCAACGCACACGCTGCTCATTAATAATAGTCCTAATGTGACTTGAAACAAGTAGCTTTTCTTAGTTGATATATGTGATTAAGTCGTTACCTATTTTCAGAATTTAATTTTTAGCCCTGAAAAGAGGTCCCTTTTTGGACCAAGTTATTATCTTCTAACATTCAACTTAAACAAAAAAAGAATTAAAACCTTTTTACTGCGTTTATTTTTACTTGTATTCAACAACAGCCGATAAGTAACTTCCTTTATTAATGCATTGTTGCGTTGCTAATTACATCGATAGTTTCGGCGCATTGTAGAACACATTACTTATTGTTTTAATCAGTCAGCTCCGGACTGTCTATTGTCCTTAAGGTTATTTTCTTTCTAGGTTTCTCTGTATACACGCGTTACACTGTTCCCACATATTCAAACCAACTAAATAATGTATCAAAGAATCTTTATGTGACACTGATTTTAAAAGAGTAGGTAACCATGGAGTTTCTTGCTCGTTCTTCTCCATCGGAATCTACACTTTGGAACGAGCGAATAGCTTCACTAAGAGGACTGAACGACAGACTGACACTTTATATCTTTAAAATTTTGTTTTACGTTCAAAAGTGCCTGTATGGGTCTAATTGAAATAAATGATTTTGACTTTGACTTTAAGTAAAAGAGTGTAGTAATACGAAAAGTTTATAATGGGAACCTACTAGGAAATGAAAAATCGTGTTAGTATATACAAAATCTATAAAGTAAAGTAGTTACTAAAAGCCTATCCACCCTACTCACAAAATTAGCGGTCGCAAGCGCATTAATATACCGCGGATCCAGATTAGAACCGGAGAAGGAACGGGGTGGTTTTAGTCAGTATAAGACTGACGCTGCCTCTCGCCTCACCTAAAACTAAAGAAATCATCTATTTTTTCGTATTGGGCAGGCATTTTGTCACTATCACGCCTAAACCTAAGCGATGTTGCGACCTACGATGGAGCATGCCTACCCGTAAGCAACGTATTCACTCGGGCCTTAAAGACACCCAGGTTATACATATATACCTTTCGGAGTTATTCATTTGTTGTTTTTCACCCTTCCAAATAAGGACGGCATCGCATTAGTAATTGCATTGGTTATGCCAGTCTCTAGGCAATAAGCAATAAGGACATAATTTATATCGATATGCATTTTAAAACGGTTTAGTAAAGGTTGTCATACGAAACATCTGTGTCGGTTGCTTAAAGGTAATTAAAAAAAAATAGAAACTCCGTTCTATGATAGACAATATCGTAAATGAAAAACCATAAAACCTTCATATTATTATATAAATCAATGCCACTTTTCGTTGTAAACTCAACAATGCCTTTACCGATTTGGCTAATTTTGGTCTTGAATTATTCGTGGAAGTCCAGAAAAGGTTTGTACGTAAAGAAAAATTTAATAAAAATCTTGAGAAAGTGTAAAATCGACATCCCCGGCCTATCGATGGGGCGTAGCCGCGGGTGACCGCTAGACTTGCAGACTTGAGAAATAAAAATATAATGGATGCCGAGGCGTAAGCTTAAAACATTTTCTCCGTTTTTGAATAGTAAATAACTATCGCGAGGTATAGTATTTTTTACACGGCGAAACAAACGCTGACACCGGTTTTCTATGAGCCCGTGGGATACCACGGGCTCATAGCACAACTCTCCCTCACTTTAAGTACTTATAAAAAAAATATTATTTATTAAAAAGTATAAACAAAATTATGACTCACTTCTCACTTCGCATATCCGGTAGACTTCTATTGATAGATATCTTGTCACTAACGAGTATGTTGTACGAGTGAAGTGAATACAGCTCCCGGGCAGTGATGAGCTCCCGCTGTGACAACTGTACTGGTCGCCCTCCTTCGCCAGCCCCGGGAACGGGCGCATAATTGTTTTTGTTAATTACTTCTGGAATGTTACAAGTTTTATGGGTTATCTTACTTATTTAACTGAAACATATAATCATCAACCCATGTCTATGGGCCTGGCTCCTTGCTCTTCTATGCATACAGGTTTGGAGTAATCTCCACGCTTGGCAGGTCTGAAAACCAGTATGATTTGTGTGTGGCCGATCTTTCCAGGGTTAGGGATATAAGGTTTGGCGATTGGGGAAGGACGGACGCGAGGAATTCGGCCTCTTGAAACCTCACTATGATATATGGGCATAGTGCGATCTGTGGCCCTCCAGATAGCCCAAATGAGGCATCAAGTAAAAGAAGCTTCTTATGATAATTAAAAAATAGTATGAAAATTATAACGTATGTATTATCTTGAAACATAAATTCCAAACATTTCTACAAGTATTGGTGACAAAAAAATTATAAAGTGGACAAGAAAAGATTAATAACTTGTTTTATTATTTTCCTAAGTTCTCAGATTAAAAAACAATTGTGATGACAAAAGGTATAACAATTATTTAATATCAATTAAATCATGGAACATGATTTGTGCATTGCACATACATATTTATAGCCAAGATTAGTACAATTTTGTGTAATAATATAAGAAGTATTGAATGTAGATAAACCAAAACTTGTTTACATACTATTGATTTAATTGCAAACATTTATGTCACTATTTACAGAGCTCAGAATAGCCTAAAGGTCCACCAAATTAAATTAAACCCAGGAAATACTACTAAGGGGGATGTGGCATTACTAAAACAATCATACCAAGTTTTTTAATGAACAAATGTACATTTGCAATTCTAAATAACCTTGCACCCTTGCAAAATCTGATGTGTGATCTATTTTTAACTCTAACACTGTGTTAATTCACAATGAAACTGTGAAACCTTGAATGTATATGAGTCTGTGAGATACAAATCTTCACACTCATGTTGTTAACAGGAAGTTGTTTCAACCTAGTTTTAGTAACACTATGAAAATCATTATTTTATTGTATTGATACTGACAATACTTTTTATCGGTTGAATAAACCTTTTCATCCTTACATTAATTTATTATTGTTCTTCAAAAACTAATGTACAGATTTTGATGTGGTTATCACAAGGTGCAGTTATATTTAAAAGAACACAACTGACCTAAATAACCTTCTGTCTTTGTGATATTTAATTAGCAAAAATGTGATAAGGGCTGCATTGAAAAATTTAACTCTATTGATCATGAAATTATACCGATCACTTTAAAATTTTTAAGCTTTGTAAAAACAGACTTACTTAACAATGAGGCTGACACAGTCTCAATAAGAAATAGATACTAACTTTACCAACTATTTAAAAAGTATATCACAAAATATAAATAAGCCTCTACAATCTATATGAACATTATTATCTTTAATAGACACTATTTAATTGATTCATTCATGGAACAACTTGCTAAGTGACCCAAGAATTGATGTTCTAGGTCTGAGTGGGATGTGTATGTTAGCAAATGCACTCACAACACTGCAGAAAATATCAGTGTAGGTGTAGAGCAACATTGTTTTTTAAAATGTATGCTAAAAAGATAATATTAATATGTTACCTTCAGATAAATTGCCACCGTTTGTACCTCCTACATAATGTCCAACTATAACTCGCATTCCACTTTCGTCCACATAAGAGTTTTTATCAAAATGTAAGCTGAAAATAAGAAATATATCTTTTATCAATAATACTTTAGTTAACACTTTAAAAAGTAGCCAAACAAATACTTTTTATTTGTAAAGGAATTTTATTTCACAACTTTCCACTCACCTGTTGTACCATGGTTCTTTTTCTTTTCTCTTAATAGTATTATAGAGCTCAAGACTAACATAAAAGAAACAATTTAACAATAGTACTAATATAACTGTAAGAACCACTATCTTTTTCTTACGTCCCCGACATAGTAGCGACCAGTAACCCTGAAATATAAATAAATTATTTATACAAACAATTTAGATATACGTCTAAAAATTTAATATATTTGTAGCAAATAACTTACGTTTTTATGTAGCATCGTTTTTTCACTGGGCAATAAACTTTTTAATTCATAAATATTAAATTAAACACTGGACATTCTGTTAGTTTATTGCTTTTCTGCTGATTTATTGTATGGACTGAATGCGACCTATTGTTGATTGGACTGAATAACAACCGTCACTCTTGAATAGTTTCAGTTATTGTTTCATTCATGTCGATTTCACCTCTCATTCTCTCAGTGACAACTCCCATATAAACAACAATTCCATTCTGGAAAGAGGAAAATAAGATCCTTTTATACCTACTGCCACTTTTCAAAATATTGAAGTATTGGAACGCGACACGAGTTCCATTCCTATTTCATTTGTTGACATGACATGACATGACATTGATTTCGGGACTTGAAAGATTTTTGAAAGAGACAACACGACATCTTTTTCCCGTCAGCCTATTTTCCCGTTCAAGTACTGCGTTCAATTTTGCTACTTTGCATAGTCAGTTATGTTCAGCTCTCTATTTATAAAATCCTGTTTTATATAATTTGTGTCTTGTGTGATGCAGTTTTATACAGTCATGTCGTTTACGTTTCCATACACATATCTTCACTACTAAACTAAAATCAAATAAAAAGTAATTAAAATGTTTTCATCTGACACTTTACCAGTACAAGGTCCATTTGCTTTTGCAGTTTTGAAATATCATACAAATCTCAGTAAAAATAAAATATTTTATTTGATTTAGAAACACAAATAAAAGTTACGGATGTTGATTTCTGTCAAGACCAGAAGTCAAAAGTGTCAAACTTTATTGATTTTGATAGTTTTCATTCATTTGAGTGACAGATGAATTGACACATATGTAAAGTATAAACAGCCATTTGCCTTAGTGGTATTTATTAATTTTGCCGACAATATTTAGTTATAATCGAAAGGTATGGTACTATAGATATATACTACATAATGATTGTAAGCAATAGCTAAAAAACAAGTGAAACTATACTTTTTTAAAAGCATGCTTGCGCTTTGTTCTGTAAATTTTTGTTTATTTCATTAATTTTGTATTTTTTGTTTATTTTTAAATAAAAATGATTTATTTGACCTAATAGAAACATTAATATCAACGCGCACGATGTCGCGGCGTAGTAATTGGAATAGAGCATCATATAAAAATCATAATCGTGGGGGCAGGCCTCATGGTTTGCGCGGCAAAGACATCGGACTTTATTATAGAGATCTACAGAGAAATAAGAGTAAAAATACGGATCTAGATTTTATGGTAAATAAGTATTTTTTTAATGTAATCTAAAATGTTTTTCTTTAGGGTTCAGATCTTATGCAATCTTACATTTTGATTTCCGACTTAGAATTTTAAAAATCAAAATAATTATTTGCTACTTACATAACTATATAATATCTCAGGTTTGAATACTAAAAAGATATACAAGTCTGTTTATATCAGGCACACGTTTTTTTTACTGGTTTTGTTATTTTCCCCATAGTAATGAAGCAAATGCACAGGAAAAAGTACTTTTCTGCTCTTTTATGCTTTTGTTACTAAGAAATTAGTAAAACACCTATCAGTTTTTTTGTCTTCTAAATTACACACACCTGACATAATGTGATAGCATAGTATAATAAGTTTTTAAATGCTGTTTGTACAGGCAACATTACATACGACAGTCTTATAATATATAAAATAGGCACTACATTAATCTTCATATACCTATTTAACAAAAGCAAGTAAACCAATATAGGAACTAAATTAAATTGCATTATTATTTCAGATCAATCTGTCAGTACCACCTGCAGTACTAACAAGTTTACAAAAAAATATACAATCTATTAAAAAGATTGCCAAAGAACATAATATACATGTACCACCACCTAAAAATATTAATCTTGTAATAATAAAAAAAGATGATACATCAGAACATAGTCATAATCCAAAGGAATTGGGTACTGCCCACAAAAATGTTAAATATCCTGATGAGTTCAGGCCATTGGAGGTTCCAAGCACCTCTTCTGATTACAAAATGCAGGTAGATGATGTAAAAGAATCAAAGTCAAAAGAACTGAAAGTAGGATCTTCATCTGAAGATGATAAAAAAACAGATCCTGAAAAAGAAAAATCCAGTCATTCATCAGATAAAAGTCAGTCAAGCTCTTTAAAAGGCACTGGCCATTATAAATATGGCTATGAAGACATAATTACAGGTACTTTTGAAGAAAAACTTGAAAAATGTCTGAGTGATGGAATCATTATAGCCATGAATAATCCTACAATTGAAGCATTAAATGAATCATACTATGAAGAATATAAGACAATGATACAATCAAAAACTTATATAAAAATGAAAACTTTCAGAGAGATGCTACCAACATATAAAAAATCAAAAGAATTACTAGAAGTATTTCATAATAATCAAGTGGTTGTTATAAGTGGTGAGACTGGATGTGGAAAATCTACACAGGTAACTCAACCTGCTTTGAAAACAAGTATAAATAGAATTTACATGTTTCAAAAAATTAAACAGATAAGAATAAAATCTGTTCGAAAATTATATGTAAAGTACATTTTTTTTTCAGATTCCGCAAATAATTTTAGATGATGCAATTGTCAATAAAAAAGGTGCTAATATACATATTTTAGTCACTCAACCGAGGCGTATAGCTGCTTCATCCTTAGCAATTAGAGTAGCAGAGGAGAGGTCAGAAAAACTGGGCAAATCTATAGGATATGCTGTCAGATTAGAAGTGTACGTATTTTTTACATTTATACCTATCGGGATCATTTAAAAAAGGAAAAGATTTACTTTAAAATGTTCATATTCTTAGTTATGATTTATGATTCTTCTTAGGCTTGCAATGATAATCACTGTTACTTTATTCAAAACTATCACAGATTTCATTTTATGCAAAGTATTAATTTATTCCTTATATTTACCGTCTTTGCAAAGTGCTACTGAATTACCTAAAAATTAATTTATTTCATGAGATTCCATCAGAATTTATTTTTCATATAGTTTGGTATGCCTCAGGGTTCTCAAATGGGACCCTTTCTGTTTATTGGATTTTAACTGGTCAGTGACTTCAGCCGGGGTTGCGGGGTAAGCGCAATGAGGCACTGCGACCTCGGCATAGAGCAGGAGAAGGAACAGGGGGTTTTTAGTCAGTAAGAGTCTGACACTCCCTCCTGCCCGGCCCTGGGCGGGAGAAGTCATTTGATGATTTTCAGCTAAAAAAAAAAAAAAAAAAATGGTCTGTGACTAAAAAATATTAATAGAAGTGAAATTAGGGTTTATGAGCATTCAAATGTGATGAAATGTGTATTATAGAACATAATATTTTTCTCTTTTAGTGTTGATCAAAGACCGCGGGGTAGTATAAAATTTTGTACGACAGGAGTTTTACTTGCTGAACTGGAAACTAACCAGGGTTTGACTAATTATAGTCATGTGATACTAGATGAAGTACACGAGAGAGACTGCGATATTGATATATCCATGTTAATGTTGAAACAGGTAAATACGTTAACCTTTTATGTGATACGCTGGCATATGGATTTCCTGATGGTAAGCAATCGATGCTGGCCATAGACAGTCGCAACACTAGAGGAGATGCAAGTGCGCTGCCGGAATTATGGGTCTGATTGGGCCTTCGGTAACCTCACTCGTCAGTGAAATAAAACACAATGCTGTAGCTGTTTGACGCTGGTTTTCTATGAGGTCTGTGGTATCACTCCCATTGATAACCAATAATATGATATCTGGAGCGCAGATATACGCGAGACACAATGTGTTTTCCATTCTGTCGCAAATACCGGCAAGAGTTTAAGCCTCGAAGAGGTAGGCATAGGTGCCCATATACAATGTTCATCAGTAACATTGTAATTGTTTGCGTCCCTGTTGCCTTTAACCAGACACGATTTCAGTAATCAAATCATCCGCGTATCACCATTCACGTATTCAAATCATCTGCGTATCACCATTTACTATTATTTAAAAAAAATGAACTGAAGACTATGGAAACAACATCCTAGCACAACACAAAATTTTATTTGAAACTATTACTTTTCTTCCAGGTGCTCAAACAGCGCAAAGATCTCAAACTAATTTTAATGAGTGCGACAATAGATGCTGATAGACTGAGGTCTTATTTTGATGACTGCCCCATGATGCATATTGAAGGCCTAGCATACCCTGTAAAGGATATTTATTTGGAGGATATCCTTCAAATGACGAGGTACATTCCATCGTTTGAGGAAGGCACCCGTGCAGCCCACAAGGGCCAAAGACAGAAATGGAAGAGACAAGAAGAAGAAATGCAGAAGGACATACAATATAAAGCTGAAATTGGTTAGAGCTCGAATATAATGCTACATGCCTAAAAATGTTGTACTGTTTGCATTTTTATTATTTTCTTATCTTTTTAATATCAGTAGCTACATTGAACAGAATTTTATTATTATCGTCAGTATTTTTCAAATTCACGTCTCCTGTCTTTGTTACAGCTCCATGGCTTGAGTCTGTGAAGAAACAACTCCCACGAGAAGTATACAATGTACTAAAAGACGCAAGAATTGAAGATCTGAACATAAATCTGATTTTCGAACTGTTACTGTACATATGCAAGGGCGAACCCGGTGCGGTACTGATTTTCCTACCAGGAATCGGTGACATAACTAATCTTATGAAGATAATTGAATCTAGTAACAATTTCCCAAAATCTCGCTTCGACATATACCCTTTACATTCAAAATTGCCATCACTTGAGCAACATAAGATATTCCAGAGACCTCCAGATCATGTTCGAAAGATAATATTGGCTACGAATATCGCTGAGACGTCTATAACTATAGACGATATTGTCTATGTGATTGACTGCGGTAAAATTAAATATAGTGGACTGAATATTGAGGATAATATACCCACTTTGCGTACAGAGTGGGTGTCACAAGCTAATCTGCGACAGCGGTAAGTATAATACATACTTCAGTATTTATAATTGATGCCAGCTTTTTTTGGGCAGAAGTATACTTTAAATTTTCAAGGAACTTGACGTCTGCCGAGTGTAGGATTTACTTACGTCGCGTATGTCGTTGTCAAATAATAATTTGTTTGACATATTATTTACAATACTTATATTTTATCTCTGTATGCGTACTTATTTTAAACTATTTTACGGGTTAATAAAAACTGAACCTTCTAAAGAGATCGTGGAATGCGGAATGGCCGCCCATTGTGTATTTCTAAAATATTAGTAATGACGTCAAACTATAACTATAGCTATAATCAACCTGTCTGGATTGACAGGTTGATTCAACCTGTCAATGGCGTTATTTACGCATTTTAGAGAATGCGTAAATAAAAATAAACCTTAAGTCCAAAAATGTAGAGCGTCTTTTGTTTTGCAGACGTGGACGAGCTGGTCGCTGTCAGCCAGGCATATGTTACCACTTGGTGACGTCATTCCGAGCCAGTCAGCTAGCGGAACGTCTTCTGCCAGAAATACAACGAAACTCCCTATTGGAGCCCGTTCTAGCTATAAAGAAGCTGCGTTTAGGAAAGGCAGGTCTCGCTTTGAGCCAGATGCCTTCTCCTCCCGCTGAAACCACCGTGGAACGAGCTGTCAAACGTTTGTCTCAGTAAGTTAAAAACAATAATTTAAAAAACACGAAATTCCTCTTAATCGTGCAAAGAATTGGATGAACAATAAAAAATTGGCCAAATTAGGTAATTGTGGAACTTGAGAATTAAAAAAAATTCTATGCCAAATGGTCCCAGTGGTTAAATATATGTTATCGCAACATAATTTTTGGGTACAATAGCCAATAATATTCTCTCTTTTTCACCAGAATCGGCGCTCTAGACAACGATGAAAAGTTGACCCCGCTTGGGTGGCACCTGGCTCGTCTGCCGGTCCACCCGGCCGCGGGCAAACTGTTGCTATTGGGCACACTTTTCGGATGTCTCAATCGAGCAGCCAGTGTCGCTGCCGTATGGGGATTTAAGGACCCCTTCCAACTTGTTATTGGTAAGTCTGTCTTCGTTTTTGAGTTTCAGATATTTTTGAGAGGTCTTATAATCGAATCCGTTGAACAAAATCACTAACTGAAATATCAATCAGCCAAGATTATTTAAACTTCATTATCTTAAAAGTGTCTTTTTGATAGTCGGTTCCATTTTGAATAACTACGTCCGACAAATCCTAAAAATATTATAAATATGAAAGGGTATGCGAATGTATAGATGTATGTTTGTTATTATTTTACGCAAAAATGGCTGTACGGATATTGGTTGAAATTTCGTATGTAGATAGTTGATAACCTGGATTAATACAAAGGGTGCTTTTTATCAATACACCACGCGGGACAAAGCTAGTCTATTTATAAGTCTCAAACTTCTAACTCAAATGTTTATATTCAAGGCAAAGAGAAGGAAGTCGACGAAGCGAAACGCACTCTAGCTCTAGGCGAGCCGAGTGATCATGTCGCTATATCAGAAGCAGTCATGCAATTTGAGCATTGCCGTACATACCAAGAGAAGCGCAACTTCGCTTACGAATACTTCTTATCGTGCCACACTTTAGAACTATTGTCAGATATGAAGAGACAGTTTGCTGATAATTTGAAGCAGATGGGTTTCCTTCGAAATGCTGATATCAATTCTCCGTGGGAGAACCGCAATATGGACAATATGAGCCTCTTCAAAGCTATAGTGGCGGCCTCTTTGTATCCAAACATTGCGACTGTAAAGTAAGTAAACTCTCAAATCAACAACCCTCAAAAACAACTTATCCGCATTTGTAATATTACCAATCTAAATGCTATTCTTACCAATTAGGTACTTAAAGTTTAAGCTTATAAGAAAATTTTAATCTAACAATATTTTTAGATGGAAGAAAATTAACGCCCGCAAGCGTTTTCTTGACCCACGTTTAAAAGTAAGGACACCAGAAGATGGGTCAGTGAGCTTGCATCCAAGCAGCGTAATGGCTTTTAAGAATTACCCACCAGGCCGTGGCTATCCCCTAGCCCCAGTGTGTGACAGCCCTGGAGCCAATTGGCTGGTTTACTGGCTCAAGCAACGATCATCAGCCCTATTTCTGTTTGATGTAACCCTGATCTATACGCTACCTTTCCTGTTCTTTGGAGAATTGGCGATAACTGAAGGTTGTAGACAATTTTTGTTACTATATACCTCACAGTAGTTGAGGGCTCGACAAATGAAAATCAATTATCATGGTTTATGAATTTTCGCATTTTGTAGCACCATAAATGAAGGTAGATGTTATGCAAAAGTCTATGCAATTAATTAAATAATTAAGTTTAACGGCAGCCAACTGAACATCTTCGTTAGTTTGTGACGTTAAAAACATCCTGTAACACAATAAAAATTAGTCGAATGGTCTCGCCAAACATAATCAAATCATTTATTTCGAAAAGACCACTAAAAGTTAGAAAGTGTCCATGTGTCCTCTAGTAGAACGATTTTCTTTTTTAAAAGTATATATTGAAAAAGCAAAAAAAAGCTCCATGTTTGCACAATTCAATTCTTTGTTATGTCTGTAAGCTAATCAACATAATTAATTTGAAATGTCTCACGTAACTTACAATATGACCACTTTATTCTATTGTAAAATTAAAACTTATTCAATAATACTTTACTTCGATTAAACTTAAACTAAGAGTGAGAAGACTACTAACAAGGCACATATCAGTTTATTCAAAAATATGTTCTTTCTAGCTCCAGACCCATCAAACTACTGCATTTTAATATCCAATATTAAAGTCAGTTGCAACAAAACTACTTTGGAACTCCTGTGGGAACTGCGATCTCTTTTGGATCAAGTGTTAGCCGCTAAAATCAGTAGCTCAAAGATCAATACAGCCAGTGGGAATGTCTTCGAAAATCAAGTACTAGAGTAAGTATACTTACTATTTTTATACTGACAACAGTTGAGGACGAATCCTTCACTTGCTTCACCCACGTGGTGTCCCCAATTTGTAGGTAAGCCCTTTAATAAATCGAACGCCATTGTAGTACCTAAGCCAGGTTTGCTTACTTAAACGCAAAAATGTTCAATAACTTTGTTCTATAAGAAGTCAAAGAAAAGAAAAATATTTTACTGTCTTATTTATTCGTTATATTATTAATTAAGATTTGTTAAATAATGGGGTATTTTGATCTCAAAAATGCAACTAGGTAGAGCAGACGGCATCAGTACATTCGAATTTGGCGCGGTTTACACGTGTCAGCTCAATAGTAAACGCTATATCGTACTAATACATCTATATATATGCAAGATATCTGCGAATATTTATATCAGGGAGGCCACGTAACGTAAGCAACCTTGATTTAGTCGTGGCCTCAGCATCGAGGCTGACCATGAACGAGGTCACAGTCAAGGTTAAAACGAAGGTTATTCCGACATAAAGTCCTCCACGTTTATTAATTAAAGTTCCTAAAATAATCTGATAAGTAATCAATCAATATATCTGCTCAATCTAGCACATACCTGTAAAAAAAATAATTCCAATAATTATTTTATTTTGACTTGGCAACATTATTTTAAGACACGTATTGTTTTTGACCGGCTGCGTTACATGATTATAAAATTAGCCACGCCAATTACAGGAACATAATATTTTTAAATAGTTTAACGTTAGACGCATTGTTATATTGTTTATAAACTACCTTATCAATTAATTACTGAATGTTTAACCATACTTCTTTTGTTTTAGTGCTGTTATGGAGTTAATCACGGCGGAGGACGAATGCTTAGATTTTATTTCAGATAATGATTCAGAATCGGACAGGTCCGAATATGAATCACGTAGGCCCTGGCGCCGATAAATTAATTAATTTATATTTAATTTATTACAAAGTTGACTTTTTGTTACTTTCCGTTTTTTATTTTAAAACTTCTTTTGATTTTTTTAGTCTAACAACCCCATTTTGACAGCTCAATGATAACAAGTTGTTTTGATATTTTGATAAAGTTAATTTTATTTGGTTATGAACCGAATTTAGATTTTTATAAATAAGTGAATATAAACTAAACTATAAGATTTTTTGTAATATTGAGAAGAAAAATGTTAAGACCACTACAGGTGGGTCGAATTACTTTTACAACTATACCTACCTATTTTTTTATTATTATACAGAATGTATCGACTGATATACACTAATCAAAAATTAAAGTCTCGTAGGTAAATTTAAATACCTACCTATTTAATCTATAACTTAAGCTCTATATTATTTCGAATTTCTTACCCTCTTTAATACGAGAATATTTCAAAGAAGCAAGGATAGATTTTTATATCATCATTCTATTTTAATTGTAAGGTATTATTTATCGCTTCTAAGAAAACTTATCTACCTACCTATTAAGTCATACATAACCTTTCTTTTAAAGAATAACTATACTAACTACCTATAAGTAAGTAGGTACCTAAATAGATTAGTATTTTATAAAACATTTGTAAAATTTAATATTCTTTCTTGCAGTCGATATTGTGTGTGTAAGTTATATTTAAATTTGTATTCTTATTATTGATGATTATATTATTATTTGAAAAGGTTTTAAAACATATATTTTCGGCTTGCCTATTTTTACCGTCCTGGAAGAAACGACAATATAATATTAAAGAAAAACGTTTAAAGCCCTAGTCATCGTCTTAAGTTCCTAGTTCATAAAATGACTGTATTTGTATTTAAATGGATTAAACAATGGCGTAACGATATCCAAATGAACATAAATAAGATTCGTATTTGTTTGCAGCTCTTTACAATTAGAAAACCACTTCGTTACGAATTCAGAGAAGTTCCTCGACTGCTTTCGTGTTATAACAGGAGCTCACAAAATCGTAAACGTATTTGCTGTCGGAGGCTACAGATCTTTCCCGTCAAGTCATGTTATTATTACGCCATTGTTTTCAAAATAAGTATACCTTACTCATAAGCGAAATATGTAGGTACCTATTAGACAAGAATACACTATAACTCAAATAAAAATATTTTGATGTTTTTTTTTTTATATTGACTATGTTTTATCTTTCAGAATAGGTATATAAGACCTCTTTATGTGTACTGCCGTGGACTACATAACCAGTATCTAGTCACAAATGAAAGCAATGGCACACGAGAAATTACTCTCAACCATGAGAAAACAAAGTTTGTATTCATGAACGATAATGTATTCCTAATAAGTAATAGACATGTACCTATTTTTATAAATATGTTGCATATTTTTTGTATAGAAACTCACTGTCTTTGGAAATGATGAACAGTCTTATTGAAGCTATTAATTCAAATAAGGAGGACAAGTCTTTGAGGGCCATAGTTTTAAGTGCTAAAGGGAATGTGTTTTCTGCTGGTCATAATTTGAAAGAATTGGTAAGTTCCTGCAAAGGTCACTCCTAATTATCCATTCTCGTGTTGATAGAAGATTTTATATAAAAGTAATGTTTTGCTCAAAATCTGACAATATCATTCTGGAGATAAAAATAGGCTGTCATAAAGAATTGAATCCAATTTTAAAATTTAAGTAGCATAAAATTACATGTAGAACATACTTACATACTCGTTTAAGGTAAATTAATTAATCCATGTTCTCAATTTATAGCAATATAACACAGGTATAGATCAACACAGATTGATATTTAGCAAAGCGAGCGAGTTGATGAAGTCCATAATTCAAAGTCCTGTGCCAGTTATTGCTAAGGTATTACGATAACAGACTACCTACATTATGTAATAACCCAATTATTTGTTGAAAATAACGACTAACGTGAATTTATTAATAAAAAAAACTACTATTTGTCGCCGCGAAGTGCTCGCTTTACATAAGAATCCCGTTGAGACTTGAAACTACCTAATACTAAGCACTTATTTAACACTTAGAATGCCATGTCGTACAATGCTGTCCGACGCTAGTGGAGGGTTAGCCTTCAACAGTTTTGGCGACAGTCAAATGCTTAAGAACTTTTCTCAGTTAAGTATCGCGTCGGTCGTAATTTTCAATAAATTAATATTCAAGCTAGTTGCTATACAAAAGTAATCCATTCATATTATATGTATAATAACTATGTGTTTTGCTCTAAAATACTAATAAATCTCATAAGCACTGAAATCTAACACAATTCTTATTTTCGACGACCCCAGTAACCCATCTAAACATTTCCATACTAACAGCATCTGCTACGCTTTGTAAAAAATTCTTGTGGAAATGGGAATCTCTCTTTGTAAAAAGCTTTTTATACATATTTTTTTTAATTTGCCGTTTTGTTAGGTAAATGGATTCGCAACGGCAGCGGGCTGTCAGTTGGTCGCTACGTGCGACATGATTGTATGTTCAGACACCAGTAAATTCTCAACACCTGGGTAAATAACTGGTTATAATTTATAATCTAAACCTTACGACTTATAGTTAGAGTTTAAAATATTTTTAAAACTACTTAATGTTTTCAGAGCTAACTTCGGCATTTTTTGTTCTACTCCAGGGATAGCTGTGGGACGATGTGTACCAAAATCCAGAGCTACCTACATGCTCTTTACAGGTAAGTACCTTCATGAAATGCTTGATTTTGTAGCGCTTTTTATAGCTCACTCCAGAATTTCTGGAGTGGAGATTGTTTCAGTACATTTCTGGACCAGAAATGTACTGAAACAATCTCATATCGTTATCAGTTTCACGCCTGTATTTAGCAACAACATAAATGCATATGAATTAAGTCTCTACGATAACGTGTTTCTTTTTTTGACTTGACATAGCATTGACATGCCAATGAATTAGGAAAGTGTAACGGAGCTCTCCTGGGCAGATACATATAAAATCTTTTAGTAACTATTTGGTATTATCTTTTGCCGGCGAATTAAATTAGTTTAATTATTTCAGGTGAACCTATAACTGCTCAAGAAGCTTACGAAAGTGGGCTAGTCACAAAAGTTGTTCCAGCAAGCGAACTAGATGACGAAGTTAACAAGATCATTGAGAAAATCAAACACAAGAGCCGAAGCGTTATCGCTCTCGGCAAAGAATTCTTTTACAAACAAATCGACTTGAGTTTGATGGACGCTTACAAGCTGGGAGAAGATATTATGGTTCAGAATATTAATTCAAACGATGGGCAAGAAGGTATCAAAAGTTTTGTTGAAAAAAGGAAAGCAGTATGGAGTCATGAATAGCAGTTATCGCGAATGTTCGAGAATACTGTTAATGACTTACTCATTTCTGTGTTTATCTATATAATGGCACTGATAAAGACTGTTGTAAGTTTTATTTTACAAGAAAACATTTTTAATTCTCTTTGAATAGTGGAAAAGCAACTTGATAACAATTACTTTGTGAGTACTTAGGCTACATAAAATGTTTAAAGAAAATGAAAAGACAATTTTATTTACACCTAACCTTTATTTGCCACTATAGTAATATACTTTAACAAAACATGCAAAGCATAAATTATAATGTTAAAGCATACAACATGACATGACACAGGACATTATAATATTTTTGGCCGATTCATCTTACATTATTTACATAATATGCATTGTATCATTTAACTTCCATGAATCAAGATGGATCACATAAAATGTTAGTATCTGTATATTATTCAGTGCACACATATTTCACAAATACAAAACTTGTATTAATAAACTTATTCACTAAAAGATTTTTTTTAAGTTAATGATAAATACATCTAAAGTTAATATAGAATAATAATTTACGTTACATGCTCTGCTGGATTCTCCAAAATAAATGGTTCATTATTGTCAGTGACAGTTGATAGTTGTGCAAGTTATGTTGTTATATTGAAATTCTCTGTTTAATTCACTAGTTTCTACTCTTAGTCAGAACAACTCTGGAATTTTAGTATAGACAAGAGTGAGATTATTACAAACATTACAAATACTACTATTATTGCATCATTTCATTACATTATAACATTGTAAGAATATAATCAACATACTCCCATTAATACTTATTACAACAAACAAAATTTATGTGAAATCTACTCTATAGAAATATTAGGATACTGATGAAACTATACTTTGAATGATTATAATTATATGGACCATTAAATAACTATATGGGGCCATTTTCACAATATCATTTATATATATCTAGCTAAATTATAAATTAACAGCTTCGGCAAAACATTGTGAAAAGAGCCTTCAGCCTAGTAGTAGTAAAAAGACATTACTTGTATAATTACATAAAATTTTCATAGTCTTTTAGGTATTTGTAGAATGAACAACGATCACATTATAGAAGGTTGTCAGTCATTAAGGGAATGTTTGTAGTCTGTTCCCAGTGACCGTTTGCCAAAATGGTTCTCACTTCTTTGCTAGCTCATTAGAGAGCCAGTCTAGACCTTCGTACAGCCCCTGTCCTTGTGTTGCACAAGTGGCTTGGATGTACCACTGTGAAGAAAAATAAAGGCCATCATTAATCAAGTATAACATATCCATAAAAATATAACTGAGGAAATACTTACACGGCGATTTCTCAAATTGTTTAGGTTGAGAGCATTGGTAAGTTCAGCTGCAGTCATTGCATTAGGCATATCCTGTTTGTTGGCAAACACAAGGATCACAGCATCTCTTAATTCATCTTCTTTTAACTGTAAAAAAAAATAACAGTGCAACAGATTAACAACCAATAAGATATTTTTTATGCTTCCCTTTTGCATTAGTAAGTAGTTTATAGCCACAAACCCAATAAAAAGATAAACTGATTTTTATTGCATGCATCTTTGTTTCTGTTATAATACAATAATTATATCAAAATACATCTGTATTTTGATATATATATATGCAATGCAACAGAACAATACAGTTACAAGCAAGTTTGAAATAATTCAATAGTCTACAACTGGATAAACTGGTTCTTTTTTTTTAATTGATAGGAACAAAGCCTAGTCTATGCTTACCATGTTAGCCAGCTCATTTTCGGCTTCTGCTATTCTCTTGGTGTCACTTGAATCCACGACGAAAATAAGTCCCTGTGTGTTCTGGTAATAGTGACGCCACAGCGGCCTGATCTTGTCCTGACCGCCGACGTCCCATACCGTAAAACTAATGTTTTTGTACTCCACTGTTTCCACGTTGAAACCGATCGTCGGTATTGTGGTCACAATCTCTCCCAACTTAAGTTTATATAGTATAGTAGTTTTACCAGCGGCATCCAGTCCAACTGCAACAATAAGTCTTGTATTAGACTATCAAGAAATCGTCATTACTACAAAACAGTGACGATGTCATAAAAATGTAAAGAAATTCTACGCAATCTAAGACCGATGAGCTGTCATGTCACTTACCCATAAGGATACGCATTTGTTTTTTGCCGAATAGCTTAGTAAAAACACTTGAAATTGTTAAACCCATGATGTTTTTTGTAGCAGTTGTTAATATTAGCTATTTATAAAAACTAAATTCCTAGACTTAAACAGAAAAACACAAATTCTAGTGAAATACAGAGTGATGACCATACGCACGTCAACGTTTCCAATTTTTTTCTTCGCCAAGTAGTGACGTACCGCTTTTTATTTTTTGCGTTTAGTTTTACCGCGTCGGGAAACTAAAACTATTATTTGGTTTCATTATATCTTTATTAACTCCTATGTACTTGTAGAACTCTTTCAAAGATGTGTTTTCTGTTATTTTTTTAGTACTTGGATACGACAAACTAACGTTATAGTTTCGTGTTAATATTGGTTATATTTCAGTGAAGGCGTAACAGAAAAACAGTCTGCGTAACAGAAAAACAGGCGTAACAGAGAAACAGGTTGAACTTTTTTGGTTTTCTAATTGAGTTATTATTCCTAGTTAGTACAAAAACTCAAAAGTACAGTAGCATCTAAGACTAGCACTGAAATTATTTGTTTATGGTTTAGTTTGACATTTGCCCAATGGTGTTTGACATTGAATTTTTGACAGAAACCAATAGGAATCCAAATAGAGTTTTGCTGTCATGCGTCGTCATAGAAACGATTTATTTTAGAAACTTTTCATTTTTTTGGCCGGATCCGACATGGAGATTTACGAAGGTGAGTTTTATAAAATATAATTTAATAATTATTCGAGTCTCACAACTTCCACAGAAATCTAATGTTAGCGCGGTTATTTAAAAATGTGTAAGAACAGAAACAGGTTCTCAGCGAAGGTCCTTTTTGAGATTTCTGATATTGTGATGACTTGACACTGCCTACATTCCTATCGTAGCGTTTAATGAACAATTCTTAATATATCATATTATACTAGTCAAGTGAATAAATCAATTCAGTACTCCTTAAAAATATTTAACTTATGTTCACCACCCACTGCGCCTAATGGAATAAATATTCATCAAGTATGTTTTGCCATTAAATAGACCTTCAGTTCGTGGTTTAAGTGGGTGCGGTAGTGCCTATATTAAACATACAAACACTTTAATCTTTCCTATAGTTTGTAGAATCTAGGCATTAATAATAAGATCGAATAAGATAGATACCCATATAGTAGTTCAAAACTATGTGTTTAGGACTAGGAAGTCGAAAATATTTTAAAAGCTCTGTACTTTTTCTTGCTTTTTTTGATTATTATTTGTAAAACGAATGATAATGGTAAAACAAAATGGCATTAAAAATTTAAGAGTGTAGTCGAACTTCGGATTGTATGTTTTGCAGTTCTGACTCCGCGAATCATGTTCACCTTGCAACCAAGAGGACCTCTGAGATTAATGACGATAAACGGCATTCATATGTTTCGACGCAATTATAAATCCACATAATTGTAGTCAAAAAAGGGGACTTGTGACAAATCGCCGTTTTTGCGTGTGCTCAATTTCCGCTTATAAGTATTTATTCTAAGAACAGAACCATACAAATACCGATGTTTATAATGGCGTGCAAAGTCAAAATATCTGAAACTTTCATTTTATAATAACAAGAGTCGGAAAGCGGCGAAAGTTTAGTCGGGATTCCGTGAAGGCGTGATAAACAATAGCTACTGAAACAAAGAGAACGTTCTTAATCTTTCGCACTTAGAGACTTTAGAATGCGATCTCGTTTCGAAGATTTAAAACATCTTCATCTATCCTCATTCCCGACTTTTTTATATTTCCATTAAATACTCGTAAATACAATTTGTAGTTTCCATCGTTTCAATTGGACTCAATTACGTAAACTTTTAGAATAGCAATTGACAGACTTAGCATAACGCAAAATAACGACAAATTGCGTAGAGTAACACTTGTACTAAGCACCGTGGAACAAGCCTACATTGTTCTCTCGCAGTATAAGGTGAACAACACAAATATGGCTGGTCTATGTTTTATCGGACACGGTTTCTATGGACAGCAAATATGCAATAGCGCGCAATAGGCCACATTACGTCATGTGTACAATACTGATCGCTGTTAGACATCTCTAATTAAACTTGAACAATCACTAGTTTTATCGGTTAGATACGATTTTTTGTCGTCTCTTAATTAATTTGCTAAATGCGAGCTTTAATACGAGTACAATGAAGATCGCCGCAAGTGAGAGCCGTGAGAGATACCTAAATTGAGTTGTAAAGAGCTTGTTAAAACGTATGGATACCTATTTGTTTATCTTAACTTAATTCGTGTTCATCAACAAATCGAGAAAATCTGTCGAATAATTAATAGTAACGCCGTGCGACCTTTAATATGTTGGATAGCAGCAGATTCTGCAAGGTTGTCTCACGACATAGGACCTAGTGTAGATCAACGATTAAAAAGGCGATTATAAGTCGAAAGGCATCTACTACTGAACAAAGACCTGGTTATATCGTCATTGCCTCCAGTCAATCAAAACCCACCCCGTCACCCCAAGTGAACAAATGAACAAACAAGTAATATTCACGCTCTAAACAATTTGACTCCATCGTTCATCCACTATTAGTCTTTCATCAATTATTTAACTTCATATTCGAAAAAATAACGTCCGAATATAAACCTCTTCCTTTTTTGAAGCCATAATCGACTTATACGAACAGTATCAAAATAATCAAATTGTGAATAAGGCAGATATCTCATGTTATTCTTGCGGTCGGTAAACAGCTTATGTTCTACTTTAAAAAGTCTAGGATTTCAGTCTGGCATTCAATACGTATAATCGAATAACTAGATAGACACGTGAACATATAATTTAAACGTAAGAATTAGATATTTTTTGCTTCTCAAATGTCACACGGAATAAGTTCCAATTCCAATTTCCGTTACTATATTAAATTACGTGGCTGCGCAATAAGTATTAGTATGTATTTTGTTGTAATGACTACTTACCTACGTGTATTTTTTGGATAGTAATCATTAGGCGACTTTATGCTTGATTTGGTACAAAAGCGTCGCTTTTATATTTGGAGCGTACGAACTTCTAGCTTATACGTTGAAGGAAACAATTAAGTTTCCGATTGCAATTTCTAAATAATTATTACCTATTTTGCCAATACTGGTCTAAAAGTAGAATATTGCCCTAACAACGTATCGTGAGGTTTTGTAGCGTTTAAATTCTGCATCAAATTTCCTAATTGCTACTAAATAAGCAGGCGTCGTTTGTTGTGGCTTGCTTACAATCCGTTAGCCATTCCACATTATGTGAACATTTGCTCTTTTCAACTCACATTTTAGTTTTTGCTACATGTCCCAAAATTTAGTTAACAACCATAATTTTATTAAAATAATTGTCCTTGTTGATTGAAAGTGTCGATTGGTAGCAATCTATTGAAGTTATTAAAATATTAACAATATCAAGAACTAGCTAGTCTCGCGTGCTTTCATCCGCAGTCCGGCTGCATTTGACCGTATCGTGATGTTTTATAGCCTCAGCACTCAGAAACAATGTAGCATCAGTGAAAGAATTTTGGAAATCCGCCCAGCGGTTCCCTAAATTAAATTATTTTATTTAATAATTAAATTAATAATTTATTAAATTAAACTTACAAATTTTATCTTCATAATATAAATATTATTATCAAGCATTTGAAATCTTAGCTAGGTCCTTATCAAACTATTGAAGTTTTCTTTGTCTTGAAATCTTTATTATTTCCTGTACTGAAGTACCTAATAATAATGACAAGTCTTAGTGATTTTTAAAGGAACTAATGAGTCAGGAAATTAATTATGTGCATTATAATACGAAGGACTTGACGCTAAATGAAGTAGGTACCTAGATGTTAAGTCGACTTTGTAAAGCAAATAATATGCAATCTATGGTAAAACGCTGGTCAATGGTGGCCAGTCATAATTACAAAGCACGGATGTAGATCGCGTGTGCGAACTGTATAAAAATAATGGTTTAATAATGGCACAAAGATTGCGTTGTTTTACATAAGAAATAACGAATATATGCAGCCTTACAATGATAAAAATTGTTGAGGTCAACCACGGCGTTGTGTTTCGCCGCATGTGTGAGTTTACCGGAGGTCAACCCTTCCCGTCTCCCAATCCCAAAATCTCCAAATACCTAATGCCCAAAAGGACGGCAACGTACACTAGTACAATTGATGCGGGTGACCATGAGCGACGCTAAAGCGACGCGAAAATACAAGATATCCATTTTTTTATATGAATTCCAAAACAAGACAAGTAGAATTCTATAAAGTATTGAGCCGCTACCGCTACTAAAGTGGCAAATTAATTCGCACCCGCATATTACCCAGCTACGAAGACGCGCCGTTCTGATGTAAACACTGTTATTACCATTGGAATTCCTATATTATTATTATTATTGATAGTTTTTTACTCATTTCGATGTCATCGTCCTGTTACGAAAACCGGTCTAATAATATCTAAACAAATTATTTTTACCTTTTCGCAACGCTTGAAATTCTTATGAGAACCGAATTCTGACTCAAATAATTTCGACATTTTCAATACCTTATTATTTCACGGATTAACTAACTCAATGATAGCCACTTATTATTTCTTTAAATATTACAATTGTTGTATTATCTTTGTGAAATACCTGAATGATATTGTTTAAATTCATAATCATAGTGCAAATTGTATAAATTTTCGAAATAATGTTACGTAGACCAGAATGAATTGTTTCAGGCATAGCCATAATGTGAATTATTTGTGCTAAATGGTGCATCAACATTTTTTGTCTATCTTTAACTATGTTCATTTTCTTTCACCGTTAATGTGAATAGGAAAGATTATCGCGTCTCTCTGCGTTTTGGAAAAAACATTATGCAGCTATTTTTCTTAACACATTTTCTTTGCTCTTTAATATTCATAGTTACAGCATACGCACTCGCAAGGATCGCATTTATACAACATCTAACCTAGTTTGTGCCATTTTTGGCATACGCAGCATTCTCTTTCATAAATTTGTTTCGTACTAGAGAGCCATTAGTCCTTATTGGGCATTAAGTTACATATTACAAAAATCTGTTCCGGAAACAGAGAAAACAATTTAACAGCAATTGCAAAATCATTTGGAGATGATTTGTTATCTTCATTATTGGCAAACGGTGCTACTATGAATAACACCGTTCCAATCAATAC